CTTTTTCTCATGGTAATATTTTTCTACTTGCTGTGGAGTGCCTTGATTTGCAAACTGTTACTTCTCAAAGATTCTGATGAGTGGTCATGATCAGTTTGAGGTGTTTAGGTAAAAATGATGTATCCACGTTGTATATATGATTAACGCTGTCTTTGGCATTTGATTTATCTGCAGCACTTGTGGAACAGACATATCTTCATACGTCCTTATGCATCTGGGCAGTTTTCCTTACTCAATAACTTTTGTTTTTTTTGAACACTTGACATGAAGCCCTGACTTTCTTCCTGTATTGATCAACCTATCCCTTGATGAAATTACAAATTCACCTGGAACCCTGGTGACCAAATCTGAGATCTTTGACCCACGGCTGCTGTTGGGATCACGTGGTCTCCACACATAGTATTATTAGGGGTCGACCTATTTCACATGCTTGCTTAATCTGGAAAGTTCTTTCATTCGAACACTCTCAAGACTTGGTTCTGATCATACACCATCGTTAATGATATCTGATGCCCCCAAAGGGTGACGTTCAGATGCACAGTGTGATATGTTGTTTTTAGGAGGGTCTGGGCAGATTATTCCCCTGGTGTTGGGAAGATGGGGGTGGCTATCGTATGCACCCAAAGAATTTATTGCATACCGGTTAATGAGGACTGTGTATACTTGCATGTGGGTGTGTGCACTGTGGCTGGTGGAAATAGGGCTGTGTATGAGGTACTTCAAAAAGTTCGTGGAAAAATAGAATTAAAAGGTAATACAAACCTTTTCTTGAACTTTCTGAAGACCTCCTATATTCCTATACCTTATCAAGCAAATTTACAGTTGTAGAAAATAGTCTTCACGGTCTTGCCCTTTTAGGGTCTTTTTTTTTTTTTTTCCTTTTTGTCTTTTTTACTGACCGGTAACGGGATCGCAATCCTCAGTGTTGCGCCCGCACCGAGGACCAGCAACGGGATTGCAACCCTCGGTGTTACGCCCGCACCATGCTCAGCCAGTGAGCGGGAACCGGTCTCCACATGGGATCCAAACCCTCAGCGGGAGCGCCGCCACGCTCCCAAGCGGCGCACTCTCCAGTACTCCACCGGGCCGGCCCCCCTTTTAGGGTCTTTTCAAGAGCTTCATCCTACTCCCAAATCCTACTTCATCATGCCTGTGCTGGTGAGTTCCAGCTAAATGTCCATGCTGCCCTAAAGAAATCTAGAAAGTCGCCCACTCTTGTAGAGGTTTATTGTACAAGTTCACCAGGAAGATATTATTTGGACCTGGGAACATATTTCCCCACCACAGTGATGAAATTGTGCTTGGGTTCAATGCTCATCCACAAAAGCACAGTTCGACTCATGCATTTGAAATACTTTGTGCTTAACGATGACACATTACAGAAAGGAATTCTCCTGTAGCATGAGTCAGGATGCAAAGCAGAAAACAATAAGGCATTCGGCCAGAAAAAAACAACTCGAGATCTCGACTTTAAGACAGAAGGAATGGGGGTATCTGATAAGTCTTTCTAACAGTAGAAGATTTTTCCAGGAAATAGCAACACCAGTCCCCACCGGCCCCACCCCGACGTCTTCCTGTGCTTTCTGCATCTCTCTATGCCTCAAAACCACAAATCTTGAACTTGCCGAGTTGTGAGAAGTTGGTGGGGAAACGGGAGACAGATGAACAGCCTAAGGTAACTGAAAAAAGGAAACGCCTGTCCCTGAACTCCCTTCAGGTAGTAGGGCAGCCTGAGTGGCAGAAATCTAGCAGCAAGACAGAGCAAAGAAGGCTTTTATACGACACCTGTAGGTGGAAGGACATACTTCCGCAAACCCAGCATTATTGTGCAAACTTAAATGTACATTAGGTAAAAGTATATACGTGTTTGTGTGCGTGTATATATATTTTATTATTAAAACATAATTGTGCATATCTGTGGGGTACAGAGTTGAATATCAACACCTGTGTGCAAGGTGTGATGCTCAAATCAGGAGCTTAGTACATTCAGCATTACACAATGTCATCATTTTTTGGAGCTCTTTACGAATTTCTCAGTAAGCCCCCTTCCCCCTCCCACTTTCCTACCTCTGGTCTCAGTTCTGTGCTCTTCTTCTGAAAATTGAACGTATTATAGTGGTTGTTATATCTTTCTTACTTCCTTTGTTTTTTTAAACTCCCACTTATGAGTGAGGACATGTATTTCTCTTTCTGTGTCTGTCTTATTTCAGTTAACGTAAGTTTCCCTGAGTTTATCCGTGTTGCTGCAAAATGGCAGGGTTTCCTTCTTTTTTTATGGCTGAGTACTATTCCATTGTGTATATACACCACATTTTCCTTATCCAGTTGTCCATCGATGGACAGTTAGGTTAGGATACAATATTTTGCTAATACAGGTGGCCCACTGTATCTGTGGGCCTTACGTCTGCAACCAACTGCAGGTCAAAAATATATGAAAATATAAATAAAAAATGACAGTATAGCAATAAAAATAATGCAAGTGAAAAATACAGTACATAGCATTTACATATTAAGTATTATAAGTAATCTAGAGATGATTTAAAGTATACAGGGGGAGGTGTGTAGGTTATACACAAGTAGTACGCTATTTCGTATTGGTGACTTGAACATTCATGGATGTTGGTATCCACAGGAGGTCCAGAGACCAGTTCCCCATGGACACCAAGGGACAACGGCACATATAAGCATTGTGATTGGTGAAATAAACATTCATTTGAAATTCAGAGTAGTGTTTTTTTTTTTTTTTTTTTTTTAAGATGACCGGTAAGGGGATCTTAACCCTTGGCTTGGTGTTGTCAGCACCACGCTCAGCCAGTTAGCTCACCGGCCATCCCTATATAGGATCCAAACCCATGGCCTTGGTGTTATCAGCATTGCGCTCTCCCAAGTGAGCCACGGGCTGCCCCCCCCCTCCTTTTTTTCCCTTTTTAAATCAGTGCTATTCTTTGGCAGAGTAAAGTTTATCATTTCCACAATGGGGCATCATTCCTGCCTACAACTACATCTTTTTATTGATCTTCTACTTTGCTGACCACTGCATATGATTATTTTTGCATGAGTTTCCCTTGAATGAATTTCTGCATCATTGCAAGCTCTCTCCTCATGTGCTTTTTCCTTCATTTTTTCACTATTTTATTGGAATAGCTCGTCCCGGTAGACATGGCCATCTGGTAGACCCTCCAGTCTCCTGGGCACCATTTTGTTCTCTGTGTGGACGAGGTGGCTGCAGATTGTTAGGATCAGCTTTGTAGGGAAGCATCCATTGCATGGTCCAGATCAGAGAAAATACAAGGACTCTCCTGTCCTGGTCTTGGTTAAAGTCATCCTGTGTCTTCCCAGTCCTGTCGGGTGCCTTTCACTGGGCCACCTTCTCATGTTTCATCTTCAACACCTATCTCTCAAGAAGGTATTTGTTTCTTTTGCTAAGACTTGTACAATACAGCCAGGTCCCAGCATCTTCTTTTTTCATTCACCTCTATGATTTCCTTCTCAACTCATCATTTCTGCCTTTTCTTCTGTAAACAGAGCTAATCACCACCTTTGTAAGGAGGATGCACCTGACCCGACTCTCAGCAAGCTCCTACAAGTAATTGCTTAGAAATACCTTATTTGGGACTTTCTTTATGGATACCCTTTCCCAGCAGGTTTGATGTGCAATCTTAATTTCCAGCCTTGATGACACTTTCAGGTCTACTGAGTTGGGTGTGATCCCTGAAGATCTATGTATTGTGCAGTCATGTGTCGGTAGGGGATACATTCTGAGAAACATGTTGTTAGGCGATTTCATTGTTGTGTGAACATCACAGTGTAAACATAGATGGTAAAACTTACTACTCACCTAGGGTGTGTGGAGTAGCTATTATAATCTTATAGGACCTCCATATATGTGGTCTGTCATTGACTGAAATGTTGTTATGGAGCAGATGACCATATATTTATTTTCTAGGGCTACCATAAGAAAGTGCCACAGACTGGGTGGCTTAACAAACAGAAACTTATTCTGTCATAGTTCTGGAAGCTGGAAGTCCATGATCAAGACATGTCAGGGCTCGTTTCTCCTTTGGACTCTCTCCTTGGCTTGTAGACACTGTCTTCTCCCTGTGTCCTCACATGCTCGTCCCTCTGTAGGTGTCTGTGTCCTAATCTCCTCTTGTTATAAGGACACCAGTCCTATTGGATCAGGGCCCACCCTAGTGACCTCATTTGACCTGAATCACCTCTGTAAAGACCCCGTCTCCAAATACAGTCACATTCTGAAGGTAGTGAGGGTTAGGGCTTCAACATATAAAATACTGGGGGAGATAATTCAGCCCATAACACACTGTTATCTGGTTTATCAACAGGACATGATACTTACTTTTTATTCATTCCGAGACCATGGGAGCTTGGTGCATTCAACTGGATATACAAATCTTAACATCTGCTGTGGTCTGAATGATTGTCTCCCCCCCCCAAATTCCTATGTTGAATTCTCACCCCAAAGGTGATGGGGTTAGGAGATGGGACTTTTGGGAGGTGATGAGGTCACAATGTGGAGCCTCATGCATGGGATTAGTGTCCTTATAAGAGAGCCCCCAGAGAGCCCCCTTACCCCTTCCACCATGTGAGGACACAGTGAGAAGGCACCATCTATGTACCTGGAAGCAGGTCCTCACCAGACGCCAAATCTGCCACGCCTTGATCTTGGACGTCCAGTCTTCAAACTGTGAGAAATAAAACTTTGTTGCTTATAAGCCACCAGTATATGGTAATTTTGTTGTGATAGTCACAATGCATTAAGACAACCTCTATCTAACCTGTATCTCAATATCTATAACTTCTTAAAATCTGTCTTTACCTGTATCCTGATGTTTATCTATTCCCAGATCCTAAGATCGATCTATACACATATCTAACATCTGTCTGTACCCGTGTCCTAACATCTATTTATAATCTATGTGAATGGGCATCTCCTCGACTGTCAGTGGCGTGGCCCTCAAGCACGTGCTGGTGTCTTGCAGGTTCTGGACCTTCCATGACGAGCGATTCCTGTACATGCTGATGGAGTTCGTGCCAGGCGGAGAGCTCTTCAGCTACCTGCGGAACCGCGGGCGCTTCCCCACCGCCACCGGGCTCTTCTACTCCGCGGAGATCATCAGTGCCATTGAGTACCTGCACTCAAAGGAAATCGTGTACAGGGACTTGAAGCCGGAAAACATCCTGCTCGACAGAGAAGGCCACATCAAGCTCACGGACTTCGGGTTTGCAAAGAAGCTGGTAGACAGGTATGAGAAACGTGCACACTGAGTGGATTAACTTGGACAATTAGGAAGGCTGTGGATTGTTGTCGTGGTAAGGCAGGACGGGATTTGTAGCCCACCTGTAAGCTCTCACACATGAAGAGGACCTGCAAGGAGGATTGATGGCTGTGCCATGCTGTAATGCACAGCACAGCTCGTTTTAGGTGAGCTGGGATTGCCACCAAGGTGTGGGTCGATGGGAAGTTGCTTTTCCTCACCCCCTGCTGTGGAATAAATCAAATCATAACATTTCCATTGTTGAACTAAAGTAAGGAAATGTGCTTATCTTAGTTTGGGCTGGCCTAAATATAAAATAGATCCACAGTGATTGGGATACAAAATACCTTTTAAAGTTGAATATGTAATGTGTACACTCACACACACACACAGTGATTTGTTTCCATTATGCATATTTCTATTATGTATAAAGTCACGTGTTACTTAGCAATGGGGCTACTTTCTGAGAAATGTGTCATTAGATGATTTCATTGCTCTGCAAACCTCATAGATTGTACTTACACAAACCTAGATGGTTGTATTAGTTTGTTTTTATGTTGCTGTAACGGAAATACCTGAGACTGGGTAATTTATAAAGAACAGGGGTTTATTTGGCCTATGATTCTGGGACAGCTGCATCTGGCACGGGCCTCAGGCTGCTTCTGTTCATGGTGGAAACTGGCAGGCAGCCGGTGGGTACAAGCAGATCACATGGTGAGAGGAAGCAGAGGAGGTGCCAGGGTCTCTTCAAGCAATGAGCTCTCATGGGAACTAATAGAGCGAGAACTCACTCATTAATCCACCCATCTAGAGAGAGCATTAATCCATTCATGAGGGACCCGCCTCCATGACTCAAACAGCTCCCAACACTGCCACATCGGGCATCAGATTTCCACAAGAGTTTTGGAGGGGACAACACATCCAAAATCTATCAGCGGCGTAGCCCACTTACACCTCTAGGGTGTGTGGTACAGCCTATTGCTCCAGCTACCATTGCATACGTGGTCCTTTCTTGACCAAAATGTCATTATATTTAACAATTAAATATAATGACAATATAAATATAATGGCACATGACTGTGTATGGGTTCTATTATATGTGTCTATTATATGCGTGTACATAATAGATACATTTAATATAAAATATATGATATGTGTAATATTATAGTATTACATTTTGTGTGTGTGTGTGTGCGTGTGTGTGTGTGTAATGTTAATCATGGTTCTCCAGAAAGAACCAATTGGAGATATAAAAAATAAGGAATTGGCCCAGGTAATTATGGAGGTTGAAAAGTCCCAGAATCTGTCCCCCTGTAAGCAAGACACCAAGGAGATCCGATGGCGTAAATCCCAGTCTGAGGGCAGGACAAGTTCAGGCTGAGGCAGGGACAGCAAATTCTCTCTCTGTGCCTCTTCTGTTCAGGTCCTAAATGAATAGGATGAGGACTACTTACATTGGGGAGGACCATCTGCTTTACTCAGTCCTCAGGTTCAAGTGCTGATCTTTTCCAGAAATATAGTCACAGACACATGCAGAAATAATGTTTAACTGAGTATCTGGGCACCCCATAGTCCAGTCAAGTTGGCACGTCACATTACCCATCACATGTCGTCTTAGTTAAGACTGCATTAACTAATTGTCAGAGTTTGGCTGGGTGGGTGGGGCAACAGTTCTGGAGGCTGGAAATTTGAGACCAGGGTGCCAGCGTGGTCAGTGTCTGGTGAGGAGCCTCCTCTAGGTTGCAGATGGCACTGTCTCACTTGTGTCCTCACATGCTGGAAGGGGCAAGGGAGCTCCTTGGGGTCCTTTTATAAGGACACTAATCTCATTCATGAGACTGCACCCTCATGACCTCATCACCTCCCAAAGGATCCATCTCCTAATAGCATCACCTTGGGGTGAGGATTTCAGCACAGGAATTTTGGAGGGATGCAAATATTTAGTCTATAACAGGTGCATGTATAAATATTTTCAATTTATTACATAGGTATTTACATAATTGTGTTACTTTGCTTGATCTGGCATAACAGAGTCCCACAGGCTGTGGTGTAAACAACAGACATTTATGCTCTCACAGTCTCGGAAGCCAAAGTCTGAGATCAAGGCGTGGCAGGGCTGGTTCCTCCTGAGTCCTCTCTCCTTGGCTTGTAGACAGCATCTTCTCCCTGTGTCCTCACGTGGTCGTCCCTCTGTGTGTGTGTGTGTGTGTCCTAACCTCTTCTCATAAGGACACCTGTCCTTCTGGATTAGGGCCCACCCTAGTGACCTCATTTTACCTTAATCACCTCTAGATATTTATATATAGGAGAAAAAATTATTCTTCTTAAAGCAAATGAAAACATAATTTGAGAAGCATGATAAAGAAAAAGATGGTGCTAAAGGATCCCAGGAACCAGAGGTGGGTCAAGGTTCCGTGTGTGTCTTGAAGCATATATAGTTTTTAGATTCCTTTTTAAGGAAAAAAGGCATAAACCACAAGTCAAAATTAGGTACCAGAAAGGCTTGGGCAAGCATGGAACCCGATGCTTGGGCATCCTTCGCTTCATGGTCTGACACCTCTTCTAGGCACAAAGACACCTGTAGTCAGGTGTGTTGTATTGCCTGATTGTTGCCTTGGTCACCTGACCACTCATGTCTCCTGGGAGGCTTCTTTTACATCCTTACCTATCCACCTGCACCATTTTCATTTTTTTTTTATTAGCATTGGTGAGATATTCACACGCCATAAATTCTCCCATGTAAAGTATACAGTTGGATGGTTTGTAGTATATTCGTGGTTATGTGAACCCACCCCCAAAGTCATTTCCATCACTTCAGAAAGAAGCCCAGTATCATTTAGCCATCATATTCTATCCCCTCATCCTCTTTAGCCCTAGGTAGGCAACTAGCAGTCTGCTTTCTCTGGGTTTGCCTGTTCTGGACATTTTCTATCAATGAAGTCATGCACTATGTGGTCTTCTGTGTCTGTCTTCCTGTCACGGAGCATCACGTCCTTAATGTTCGTTAACTTTGCTGCAAATGCTCTAATATGACCTTCCGTGTCCTTTCTTATATCTCACATAGAAGTAGGTACCACCAGCAGAAAGGTGACATATCCAGCCACCAGACTGTTACAGGAGGTGACATTTGATCCTGTAAACATGACCAATTCTGCAAGCTTGACACTGTATATGTAAATTTGTACTTCACAAAGAACTTTTAAGTTTCTTACTATGGTTTCAAAGATATCTGAGCGATGTGGTGTGTCATCACTATTTTAAAAAGTCATGGGTAAGAGCCGAGGCGTGAGTTGCAGTCAGTTTCCTGTAAGAAATGCAGTTTTAAGCCAATTAGAGAGTTAATGCCCTGGTGACAGCATTTGCCTCTGTGTGAAAAAGAGACGTTCTGAGAAATGCCAGGGTTGAAAATATTTTTCTCATGTGGTCCGCTGACCAAAGTGACAAGAACTCTTTACGTTTTTTCCTACTCATAAGTCACCTTTGATGATTGTTTTACTGATTTCAGAATGTTGTTGGGAGGATTGATGTGAGAATTTGTGGTGAATTTTAAATGAGCAGGAAAGACCTATTCATGATAAATTTGGTGGCAATAATGTCATTTTACTGCCCCAGAATGACGGCTTGAGGAATAAAGTGCAGATTTTTGGTAAAGTATTTTAAACTACCAGAAAAGACCCATGATTGCTAAATTTAGTCAGAAATTGTGCTCTTAAAAGCAGGATGTGACCATATCAAGATATTGATACTGTGCTCATTAATGCAAAAGGTTGATAAAAGCAAAAAACATCTAATAGGAAACATTTTTCTTATTTTTATCATGCATGCTTTTATAATATTGCTTCTATACCTTAATGTAAAATAAACTTACTATAAGCACTTTTCTATGATAGGCACATTACGTAGAATTTGGACTACGTAGAAAACTAACAAAGAGTGAGTGAATAAAAATCTAAACGTACCAGCCAGAAATCATCACTATTATTATTTTAATGTGTGTTTTTTCTTCTTTGAGAGTGTGCACTATTTTCTTTTTCTTGGAAGGATTTCTTAAACACAGCACTGATATGTCCAGCGTTAGGGTGTTTGTCATTCCTAGGTCCTTTTTTGGAGTCACCCAACACAGTTTTTCAGGTGTGTTGTCTTTGTGTCCGTCCAAGTTGTTTGGGATTCAGCACTTTTGCAGCCTAAAAAAGATACTGTCCTTGGAAAATGCATCTCAAACTTGAAGGATACTATTCTGTAACATTACAGGAAAATACTGTGTCCTTTGTTTCTTTTAAAATGTTAGCTTATTTTTCTATTACGATCATACGTGCTCACAGTGGGAGTCAAAGGGTTTTATAGCCACCACGCCTTCCACCTGCCCTTCCCCACCCCCGACTTGCAACCCTCAGGTTACACAGGTCGTCTCCCCAACAGCCTGCAAATTTGGGCTGCTGTTGTCTGTTCCGTCTCTTAATTCTTATGCATGACAGTTTTTAAAAATTCTTTATATGATTTTCACTGGTTTGGGGAGGGGGCAGAGCTGAATTTGTTTAATTTATCATCTTTGACAAGAACAGGTTATACGTTTAAAACTTGTTGAGGTCATCTTCATATATATATATATATATTTTTTTTAATTTCTGTGTATGTTAAGGTGTAGAACGATGTTTTGGTATATGCATACACACTGAAATAATGACTGTACTCAAGCCAATTAACATACCCGTCATCTCACATAGTTTCCTTTTTGTGTGTGTGTGGTAAGAGTACCTAAAAATATACTCTTAGCAAAACTTCAGTATACAATGCAATATGATTAATTATAGCCCTCATGCTATGCATTAATTAGATCTCTAGACTTACTCATTCAAGATAACTACATCTTTTTACCCCTAAACCCCCGTCTTCCCATTCCACCCCGAGCCCTTGGTAAATACCATTCTGTCCTCTGCTTCATGAGTTTGACTTTGTTTTAATAGATTCTTCATATAAGTGAGATATGA